CACAAGGTACCATGTAGTACATAGCAGAACCACAGTAACTACACCAGTCAGACATCACAAGAGATGTAACTAAACCATATTTGTTGTTTACAGCACCACAAGGTACCATGTAGTACATATCAGAACCACAGTAACTACACCAGTCAGACATCACAAGAGATGTAACTAAACCATATTTGTTGTTTACAGCACCACAAGGTACCATGTAGTACATATCAGAACCACAGTAACTACACCAGTCAGACATCACAAGAGATATAACTAAACCATATTTGAGGCTTACAGGACCACAAGGTACCATGTAGTACATATCAGAACCACAGTAACTACATATTTAACATTATACACATCATTATATTCTGGATACTTAAGTATGAATGACATTTTAACTCAAGTGTTTGTATTCTGTTGTTCGAATTATATTTAGTTTGTGGAATTCAAAAATACTGATATAACTTTGTCAGTTTTCACATCTGCAAACACAATTTGCTTTTTTAATAATTACGTTTTTTTAAAAAAAGTTATAACGTGATAGAAATAACTAATTTCTTTTGACTTTTTTTTTAACACCTTTTATTAGAAAGGAATTTAAAATAAAAAATATGTTAAGATTCTCCAGAGATTTAAATTTGATGACCCAGTTTACTGTAACATTTTTGACATTGCAACGTTGTATACTAATATACTTTTGACAGGAACTCGGAAGTGCTTGTAGTACTTTTACATTTGGACAATACAGTAAAACTAAACATTTTGTTGTTGTTGTTGTTGTTTTTATTATAAGTTTAATACAGAGATATTTTTCTGAGTTATCAACTTTTTATCTTAATTTCAGTTTATATTTGAAGCTCATACTGTATATCGTGGATCACATTATGGATTGGTTGGCCTTGATGATGTGAAATTCACTTGGAAGAAATGTAACCAATAGCTATCATCCTTGTGTCACATTCCTTAGCAACACAACCCAAGAATTTTAATTTGTCTGAACTACTTCTTGTGATATGTATATAATTGTTTTTGACTGATTATAATAAACAAAAACTATGACTGTTTTAACCACCTGGTGGCTTCGTAGTAGATCTGTGAAGTTAAACACAAAAAATCGGATTTTGATACCTGCAGTGGGCAGAGCACAGATAGTTCATTACGTAGCTTTGTGCTTAACACCAAACAAACAAAGAGATTGTTATATCAGAAATTGCACATTTAAAAAATATATAAAATCGTTTAATATATCAACACTTAAACTGGCCCTTTTTTTAGTGTTTTTACAACACTATATAATGATACATACCTTAACTATTTCAATAAGAGGAACCAACTCAAAGACTAATAACGTTTGGAAGCAGCTTGAATGGGTAATGAAGAAATACCTGATATTGACAGAATTTCATCAAAACATTGTGCATCGTTACCAATTAAAGCCATATCCAAAGTTTGTTACACATTAATTATAGTCCAGTGAGATCATTGAAATAACTTGGCCAAACTTTTATGTCAGAATTATCACATAATTTTCTTTGCACTAATTATCTCTATTGGCTAGAAATGTGAAGTCTCTGTACTAATTATCTCTGTTGGCTAGAAATGTGAATTCTCTTTACTAATAATCACTATTGGCTAGAAATGTGAATTCTCTGTACTAATTATCTCTATTGGCTAGAAATGTAAAGTCTCTGTACTAATTATCTCTATTGGATAGAATGAAATGTAAAGTCTTATAAGTTATTTGCTGTAACATTATGATATAGCAGTGCCTGTTCACAAACTGTAAAAATTCTAACCATAGTGAATGTAAGTCTCTATGAATTTTACCTTTTAAGTAGCTTTATAAGCAAGAGTACTTAGTACTACAACATGATAAGTGACAGTGTGGTCCCTTTAGTTCTGTACATTTTTACAAGAGATCACTGTGATACTATAACATGATAAGTAACAGTGTGGGCCCTTTAGTTGTGTTCATTTTTACAAGAGTACTTAGTACTACAACATGATAAGTGACAGTGTGGTCCCTTTAGTTATGTACATTTTTACAAGAGATCACTGTGGTACTATAACATGATAAGTAACAGCGTGGTCCTTTTAGATATGTACATTTTTACTAGAGATCACTGTGGTACTATAACATGATAAGTAAGAGTGTGGGCCCTTTAGTTATGTACATTTTTACAAGAGCTCACTGTGGTACTACAACATGATAAGTGAATGTGTGGGACCTTTAGTTATGTACATTTTTACAAGAGCTCACTATGGTACTAAAACATGGTAAGTGACAGTGTGGGAGCTTTAGTTATGTACATTTTTACAAGAGCTCACTGTGGGTACTACAACATGATAAGTGACAGTGTGGGATCATTAGTTATGTACATTTTTACAAGAGCTCACTGTGGTACTACAACATGGTAAGTGACAGTGTGGGATCATTAGTTATGTACATTTTTACAAGAGCTCACTGTGGTACTACAACATGGTAATTGACAGTGTGGGACCTTTAGTTACACACATTTTTACAAGAGCTCATTGTGGTACTACAACATTATAAGTGACAGTGGGGGACCTTTAGTTATGTACATTTTTACAAGAGCTCACTGTTGTACTACAACATGATAAGTAACCACAGTGAGCTCTTGTAAAAATGTACATAACTAAAGAGCCCACAATGTAACGTATCATTTTGTAGTACCACAGTGAGCTCTAGTAAAAATGTACATAACTAAAGGGACCACACTGTTACTTATCATGTTGTAGTACCACAGTGAGCTCTTGTAAAAATATACATAAATAAAAGTCCCACACAGTCACTTATCATGTTGTAGTACCACAATGAGCTCTTGTAAAAATGTACATAACTAAAGAGCTTACACTGTTTCTTATCATTTTGTAGTACCACAGTAGCTCTTGTAAAAATGTACATAACTAAAGGGCCCACACTGGTAAAAAGGTACATAATTAAAGGTCCCACACTGTCACTTATCATGTGGTAGTAAAGAGCTCACTGTGGTACTACAACATGATAAGTGACAGTGTGGGATCATTAGTTATGTACATTTTTACAAGAGCTCACTGTGGTACTACAACATGATAAGTGACAGTGTGGGCCCTTTGGTTATACACATTTTTACAAGAGCTCATTGTGGTACTACAACATGACAAGTGACAGTGTGGGCCTTTTAGTTATGTACGTTTTTACAACAGCTCACTGTGGTACTACAACATGGTAAGTGACAGTGTGGGAGCTTTAGTTATATACATTTTTACAAGAGCTCACTGTGGTACTACAACATGATACGTGACACTGTAGGACCTTTAGCTATGTACATTTTTACTAGAGCTCACTGTGGTACTACAAAATGATACGTTACATTGTGGGCTCTTTAGTTATGTACATTTTTACAAGAGCTCACTGTGGTACTACCACATAATAAGTGACAGTGTGGGACCTTTAATTATGTACCTTTATACAAGAGCTCACTGTGGTACTACAACATGATAAGTGACAGTGTGGGCCCTTTAGTTACACACAAGAGCTCACTGTGGTACTACAATATGATAAGTGACAGTGGGGGACCTTTAGTTATGTACATTTTTACAAGAGCTCACTGTGGTCTACAACATGATAAATGACAGTGTGGGCCCTTTAGTTATGTACATTTTTACAAGAGCTCACTGTGGTACTACAACATGATAAGTAACAGTGTGGGATCATTAGTTATGTACATTGTTACAAGAGCTCACTGTGGTACTACAACATGATAAGTGACAGTGTGGGACCTTTAGTTACACACAAGTGCTCACTGTGGTACTACAACATGACAAGTGACAGTTGGGGAGCTTTAGTTATGTACATTTTCACAAGAGCTCACTGTGGTACTACAACATGATAAGAGACAGTGTGGGCCCTTTAGTTATGTACACTTTTACAAGACCTCACTGTGGTACTACAACATGATAAGAGACAGTGTGGGCCCTTTAGTTATGTACATTTGTACAAGAGCTCACTGTGGTACTACAGTGTGGGCTCTTTAGTTATGTACATTTTTACAAGAGCTCGTTTTGGTACTACAACATGATAAGTGACAGTGTGGGTCCTTTAGTTATGTTCATTTTTACAAGAGCTCACTGTGTTACTACAACATCATAAGGGACAGTGTGGGTCCTTTAGTTATGTACATTTTTACAAGAGCTCACTGTGGTACTACAACATGAAAAGTGACAATGTAGACCCTTTAGTTATGTACATTTTTACAAGAGCTCACTGTGGTACTACAACATGGTAAGTGACAGTGTGGGACCTTTAGTTATGTACATTTTTACAAGAGCTCACTGTGGTACTACAACATGCTGAATGGCAGTATAGACCCTTCAGTTACATCTGTTGTTATGAGAGCTTACTGTACTATTGCAGTCTCATTCGGCAATGCAAGGTGGAGAGATAAC